TAGGTCACCAACCGGTTACAGCGGGTTTGCCAACCCGTTAGAACTAATTGCGCGGACTTTGAAACCCCGTCAAGTCCTCATTGTCGGCCTTTAAACATTACATCAAATGCAAACGTAAGATAGATCTTGAAAAGATCTCTCACGAGTGAGCGTATTGCAATGTATTGCATCATGAGATCGAGCCTATTTTGACTGACATCAATGAAATAATGTTTAGAAATAACAAAAGCTCACTGATCGATGTACACATTTTTCTATAGATTATATTTTTAATATGGCTATGTCATAAATACTTTGTAAACTAAACATCTGATTGATGTTTTCATCTTCGAGTTCTTGGGTCTCGACTGGTATTAATGACATTTCTAGTATTGTGCTCTGTTCCAGTGTTGGCAGATTTTGAGTTATCACCATTTGAATTCATGCTGCGAGATCTCAAACGTGGATCTCGTAATGTTTCAGATTTTGTTACAGTTGGTTGAGTATTAGTTTCTGATCTTTGATAAGGGTGAAACCTTTGGGTGCTACTTGGTTGATGATGATTGGTTCCCGATACTTCTTGGGTTGTATGTTGAGGTCGAGATGTTGCTGAATTGGTTGATTGATTGGGAGAATTCCTTCCCTGTTCACTTACTTGTTGCTAAAATGATCACATCAAAACACAGATTAATTTCATGTCTAATCTTAGGTTTTTTTTCACAAGTATGAAGTATTAAGTCCCTCAAATCAAATTTCTCCATTGTTTACCTGCTTAAATTTCTTTACAATATCCAATGAAGGGTCACTCATATTTGGTGTCTCAGAAAACACTAAGCAGAAACTTTCAAGAAAACAAATCATTGATTAGTATAATCATAAGAGATTATAATTCATTAAAGTTATTAATTTGTAGATGTTTATAAATGAGAGAAATACACTTTATTAAGTTAAGATGGTCTCCATGGCATCAGATTCTCTGTGCTAAGAAATACAGGCTTGACATTTTATACTTCTCTTGACTGCACATATTTTATATTTATGGCAACTTGCTCTAGGAGACTATTAGAGCGGATTTCGTATGAGTGGGACACCGTTACAGCACGGTTACCGCACAGTTACCGCACCTGGCCTGCAGAATTTTGGTGAAACAATGGGACACTAGAATTTGGTTACAGTACGATTACGGACACAGTACAGTACCGTCCGTTTCCCACTCATACGAAATCCGCTCTATGACTGTATGCATATCTAGAGTGACATCTAAAGCAGTGGTGGATCCAGAATATTTAGAAAGAGGAGGCCAGTTATTTAAAAATGGTTTTTGCATCGCGTCGACCGCCGAAGGCAGGAATATATAGGGGGTCCGGGGGCATGCTCCCCTGAAAAATTTTGAAATTTAAACCGTCAAAAATGCGATTTCCAGCATTTTCAGTGATATTGACAAGGATCTTGTTAAGTTTTTTTTTTTCAATAAAAAAGGGGGGCCGCGGCCCCTTCGGCCCACCCCTAAATCCGCCACTGTAAAGTAACTCCAAGATAGAGTGCCATCAAAAGTAAATCCAGAATTTACCCATGACATACAATCCAGAATCTGACAAAATGTTTGCTCTGGAATCCAGATACTAGCAATCTGGACATTGCAGCAATGGAAACAGAATCAAATTRGCATTGAGACAAAGTTGTGTTTACTTAGGGATTGTTATTACTKCTTTTTGACACTTGTGGTGATTTTATWTGTGTTTTGGTATCATCCAGATGTAACACTACTAGGAATGGTATGGCAGCATTTACCCAACAATCGGCGCTCGCCCATGCTAATCCAGAACTGAAGTTAAATTMAATTCGCCAGTGAWATAATTACTGGTCTAGCCACAACTATGTAGAATTTGCGATTGTTGGGTAAATGCTRCCATACCATTCCTAGTAGATTGACATAAATTGTTYACTTAAAATTTTATTTGTTAAGTAATTATAATTATTATTTGAATCAGACATATCGTTCCGTATTTGTCCGATTCGGCTTGATTAGGGAGTTATCATTATTTATTGGGGGTGGGGAGGAGGGAGAGGGTGTGGTCCACTAAATTTGCATTGAAACTTGTACAAAATAATATTGACCTTCCCTAAGAAAGAAAAGAAAAAAAAGTCCCTCTCCCTTGAATAGGGTAGAAAAATTATGACCAAATAATTACCACACTTGTGTGAATTGTCAGGCACTGATTAGA